TCTTGATTGCCATCGTCTTTCATTGTTGGGACTATTTAGGGAAACACCTGGGGCAGAAATGATTGCAGATGAAGTGACTTGCCTGAGCGAGGCTGGGTCAACCAGGGCAGAGCTGGAACCACCCAGGAGCCCAGTGCCAGCTCCACAGCTCACAGCAACTCAACCAAAATGCAAAGCTAACAGCACAGCCGAGGCCCAACCACCAGGACACCCTGGGTCCTGGCACTGCTGACCGAGTGTGGCACCTGACTGAGTCAGGCTCACTGTGTGCATCCAGCACCCATTCCGGCACCTGCAGATGGGGTAGCACAGCACAAAGTGCTTGGAAAGGCACTATAGGTTGGTACCTGTGGCCAAAGGGAATTTCTGTCTCTCAGATGCTGAATGGCCAGGCAGCCAACTGGGCCAAGTTAAATGTCACTTGGACCATTCAATTGTGCTACCCTCTATAAAAATCAGAAAAGCAAGAAAAAAAGGGGAAAACTCTTCATGCTTCCATTTGTGATACCAAAGCAATGTTCTAAAGTTTAATCCTCTTATGATAAACTACTTCCATAATGAAGCTAGTCAACTGCTCCCTCAGGTTTATACAGCAAACCGGACACATACCATTGGGTTGCTAAGCAAAGCCACAGGACGTCATTTAATACATCCTAATCACATTTAGGCACACGGAGGTTTCAAATGGCCCTATTAAGCCATGCTGCCATGCTCCGGTGCCTGCGTCCCAGAAGCAGACAGTCTGGCACAAGACCCTTGGCACGCAAGCTAGAAATCTCATTAGTAAAGATCTGTAAGGACACGGCTTCCATCTCTTCTCAGCCATGACTTAGTTCTTGAACAACAAGCCTAGAGAAAAAACTCTGGGGAAGTGGCTCAGCACATGGATGTAGACCACGCTATGCCCCTTGGATCCCTGAGATTAGTGGTCAGAGGCAGCAGGTCATGGGTTCCAAGTTCTCCAAGAGAACTAGTATTTGCTGGATAAGCATTCAAAAAATATATGTATATAGTTTTTGGATTCACACAGGCAGCCTTAAATCAGGGGTTCTCAGTCGGGGTGATTTTGTGCCCAGGAAACATTTGACAAAGTCTGGAGACATTTTTGGTTGTCACCACTGGGGTGGTAGAGGCCAGGGATGTTGCTAAACATCCCACAATGCACAGGGCAGCTCCCACAATAAAGAACTGCCCACCCCAGGCCTGGGAACAATGTGGTTGGTTGGGTGTTGTCCCATGCATCGAAGGAAATGCCGGTTTGGTTCCTGCTCCAGGCACATACCCAGGTTTCAGGCTCCATCCCCAGTCCTGGGTGTGCAAGAGGCAGCTGATTGATGTTTCATTTTCACATCAATATTTCTCTCTCTCTCTCTCTCTCTCCCCCCTCCCTCCCTTCCTCTCTCTCTAGAAATCAGTAAAAAAAAATCTTAAAAAAAAAGAACTGCCCAGCCAAGAATGTCAATAGTGCCACGTTGAGAAGCCCTGCTTTAGACAAGAACTGTGATAAAAAAGTGTAACTCTATGTGTTGTTGTGACTAACCATGGATTTACTGAGGATTCATGGCCCAATAAACTCTCAGCAGGGCTGAGCAGTGTTTTCTACAACTGTGTCTTCGTGCTTCATATCATTCCTTTCATCAGCTACTCCCAGTGGAAAACCACAGGCAGCACTGTGAAGTGGATTGCGCGGCCTCATGAGTCTTCTCACCCCCTTTCAGATTCCCTTTTATTCTTTTTGGCAGCCGTGGGCCCCCTCCTGGCCAGCCATCCCCAAGGCCCATGCTCTGCCCCAGAGACTCAGATTCTAGAGCTCATATTGCAGCTGAACCTCTCACTGGCTTGTGAACTTGGGCACAGACTAAAACTGAGCCTCCCTCTCCTTCATCTTTAAGATGCAAAACGTAATAGTATGGCCTTCTCATGTGAAGCTCCTCGCTGGTGCCTGGCCCACGGGAAGAAACTGATGAGAGTTATTTTTGTGCTGGGTAGCCATTCCTATATCCATCATCTCTACCCTTGCTCTCATTACTCCTTCCAGGATCAAAAAGGTGCTCAGCTGGAAAGCAGTCAGAAAAGGAAAAAGTCATCTGATTCATTCTGAACCCTAAGTAACTTATTGTATCTGAAGCTTCCCCAACCAGGGAGAGCGACATTTCAGGAAAGAATAAAGGCAGAGCCCAAAGGAATCCATCTCTTCTAATGGACTTTCAAGTTCTCAGCACAAGAACGGGAAATATTGTTAAAGGGGGAAGTTTCATTTTTTCCCTTTAATCAGGCTGGCTCTGGCTGCATTTGAAGCCTCTCTTTGAATGAGTCTGAAGCTTTTACAACCTCTAATGACAGTTACGTAAGTGGGATGGTCCGAAAGTGCGCCAGGGCCCGCCTACCATGCTCTTTGTCCTAGATCAGCGGTTCTCAACCTTCTGGCCCTTTAAGTACAGTTCCTCATGTTGTGACCCAACCATAAAATTATTTTCGTTGCTACTTCATAACTGTAATGTTGCTACTGTTATGAATCATAATTTAAATATCTGATATGCAGGATGGTCTTAGGCGACCCCTGTGAAAGGGTCGTTCGACCGCCAAAGGGGTCGCGACCCACAGGTTGAGAACCGCTGTCCTAGATCAGTGATGGCGAACCTTTTGAGCTCGGCGTGTCAGCATTTTGAAAAACCCTAACTTAACTCTGGTGCTGTGTCACATATAGAAATTTTTTGATATTTGCAACCATAGTAAAACAAAGACTTATATTTTTGATATTTATTTTATATATTTAAATGCCACTTAACAAAGAAAAATCAACCAAAAAAATGAGTTTGCATGTCACCTCTGACACGCGTGTCATAGGTTCGCCATCACTGTCCTAGATGAACACTTGGTTTGTCCAGGTGGGCAGCCCCCACCTGCCCAATGGCAAGCCGATGCCCTTCCCCTCGCTTGCTCCTCTGGGGGTCCCAGAGTGGGGCTGCCTCACACTGAGGCCTGCCTCCTCCTTCTTGTTTGGGAGTATCTCAATGTCCCTTTCTGTATGTACCTGCTGTCACCTGCATTCTCCTTTATGCCCCCTGCCCCAATCAGCCATGTGCCCTCACTCCCTGGCTGCCCACCTGGATATGTTGACCTGCTCTGCTGCCTGGCCTGACTACGCTTGGGGCTCAACTTCCTCTCCAGCCATAAGGAAATGTATTTCCCTCCTTGTACTGCTCCTTGGGACAGGGTGCGTGTGTGTTTCTAAGAGTAGAGCTGCTTAAGCTTATATTCGTTTCCTAGGGTGGCTGTAACCACAAAGTGGATTTGAGAGACTAGAAGTCTGCTATCAAGGACTGCGTAGGGCTATGTTCTCTCTAAAGGCCCCAGGAAAGGCTCTGTATTGCCTCTCCCTAGTGTCTGGTGGTTGCAGGCAATCCTCGGTGCTCCTTGACCTGTAAACACATCACTCCAGTCTCCGCCTCCGTCACCTCGTGGCACTCTGTTCTGTGGTCTCCCTGTGTGCTTTCTGTCTGCACAAGACATCCTCCGCTCTACATCTATGTCGAAACATCCCTCTTCTTATAAGGATCTCAGTCCCTGGAGCAGGGCCCACACCAATCCAGCACAACTTTATCTTAACTGGATCACATCTGCCAGGACTGTTTCCAAATAAGGTCATATTCTGAGGTTCTGGGTGGACATGGATTTTGAAGGGACACTGCTCAATCCAGCTTAAACTTCTAGGGACACAGTGTCTCCTGTGGAGGCCTCTTCTTTTCAGAGCACAAAGGCACACATGCCCCACTGCTCCCACAAAGGCACACACCCCACTGCGCCCTCCCACACTCAGGGCTGGGTCAAGTCTGGCACCGTGGCCTGAGCCCCTCCTTGCGTCCAACTCTTTAGTCAAGGGCTTGCTTTCCTCACTGGAGTCAGTCCTCATTTGTTCTCTCTACTCTCAAGTCTTTCACATAAGACTGTACATGAATGAACCCCAAGTATGGAAGAATATTAAAGGAACCCAGGGCTTCTTGCTGATAGGAGACAGAGTGGCTATCACCCAATGCTGTGAAGCAGTGTCCTCCTGTCCCCACTCTGACCCAATGGGCCCCATCCTGTATCGCCATCTGTTTTTGTTAATCCTCACCCGAGAATATTTTTTCCATTGATTTTTTTTTTAAGAGAGAGACACATCGATTGGTTGTCTCCTGCACGTGCCTAGTTGGGGCTGAGGATCGAGCCTGCACCGAGGTTTGTGCCCTTGACCGGGAATCGAACCTGCAACCCTTTGGTGGGTGGGCCATCATTCTAACTACTGCACTATGCTGTATCACCCGTCTTTAGGAGTCTGAGGGCTGAGTCATTGGCTCTGTCTCCATGATTAGAATAGGAGTTTAACTTGCTTCAGACTAGCACTCGCCCACAGTGAAGGAAGAACAAGTATTGGCGGGAGAGCACTGAGCCCTTCCTGGCAGAGCAGGTGAGCTGTGGCTCCAGCGAGGCCACCTACCAGTCGTGTAGTCACAGCCAAGTCACCCAACCTCTCTGCACTTGTGCCATTCAGATCAGCACATGCCAAAGCCTCAGCTGGCTTGGCTTCTCCAGTTTCTCAAATGAAACATCTCTCTCCACACCCTAACAAGTGCAAAGAGAGAAACAAAGTCATTTACATGAATATGAGCACACCCTACTTTTGAAACTGCTCCTTAAACATATTTGGTTTGAAATGATGTGAAAGAAGATCCTAACAGCCTCCTAAGGAGGTTATCACATTCTTCCTCCAGGATGAGGTAGGTGGAGCATGGTCAGAAGGAAGTCAGGAAATGAATCATGAACTTCATAGGTAATGAGGGACTTTCCCATCCCCAAGAAGTTAAAAAGACACGAGAATTATGAACATTATTCAGAGTCTGGCTGAGACAAAAAAAAAATGGCAAGCCACCCTACAAAGTCACACTGGACACAGTAATGCTTTGCACATATGTGACACATTGCAGAACGCAAATAATGCTTGGCGGAGCGGCTCTCACCTCAATTCCTTCTTTATTTAAGGCATATTCATCAAAATTCAAGATGGCGATCTTGATCGTTCTTGGAGGGGGCAGCACCGTCAGCCCGATGTTAATGGCATTGCTCCTCTTCGAGTCCAGGACGATGATCTCCTGCCTTTTTCCGTCTGCGGCAGTTTTCTGGGTAATAGAACAAGGAGAATCCAAGATTAATGCCTCATCTTTGATCCTGTCTGTGTTTCATGATTAAAAGCAAACTCACTATTTATTCAGAGATGAAAACCAGTGGCCCCACTTAGGCGCAAAGGACTGGCTACCGCTCAGCACAGAAGAAAGCCATCAGGGCTCAGCTCTTGGCAGCCGCCAGGCGCAGGCCAGCAGTGGAACTTCGCAAGTCAGACACATTACAAAACAAAATTGATTTTCCTTCAATTGGGAACAATGTGATATTTTGCAAGAAAGACACACACACACACACACACACACACACACACACTCCTGTTTTTTTCCATAGAAGCAGTGGAAACAAAACTAAATCCTCCCAGAGCTCCCTCCCTGTGATCTGCAAGGAATCGGAATGTGCTCTGGTTGGCCCTAGGGCACATGGTGTGTGCCTGGGGATGGAGACGGTGGTACACGTGCTGAGGAGACGGGAGTGACATGGAGAACCCACCATTGCTGGCCGGTCAGCCCCTCTGGATCCCTGGCCACATCATCTCAGGGGCTCCTCTCCCCATTCAAATGTCCCATGCCCCTTATTCCAGAGTACCTGCCACACTTCCACATGTGGGCAGCTGCCGCTAGTGGGTGAGGAGGAACCTTCTTAGGAAGGAGACCAAAGGACAGGTGCTGGTGAAGAGGAATGGGGGACAAACAGACCTGGAGGCCAAGGAGGGGAACAGAGGACAGAGGTGTCTAAGTGTCCTCATAGAGCCCTCGTGTGTGGCTTCCCTGCTGGGCTGAGTGCCTTGGGAGCAGGCCCTGGTGTGTGGTGCCCAGAGATGAGGTGACAAGGCCTCCAGCTTCCCCCTGAGCTCCTGGGAAGTTCAAGGTAGTGGACATGGGGACAAGTGGACAAGGTCTGGTTAGCAAGCCCCCTGACCATGCAAACAGAGCTGGGAGAATAACTACTCTTATTCAGGTAACAAGCCTAGATGACAATGATGAGTTAGGCAGAGCGGACCTCTTGAAGGAAAAGATGGGGGGTTTACAATGTGAGGGGGCTCAGCAGTGGGGTAATTAACTCATCTAATGTTGGGGGGCAGGGTCTGGAGGAGCTGACATCTCGGCTGGGTCCTAAAGAATGTGTAGGATCTAGTTTGGAGCTGGGGAGAGAAGATAAGGAGCTAAGAAGTGGCTTTGTCTAGATTGCCGGGGATTGACAGAGAAGAAGCTGGAGTTTGGGGGGCCACAACCGGGGGCCCTCAGGAGCCAGCCGTTCCGACTCCATTGCAGCTGAATGGCTGGCTGCTGCTCACCATCGGTGTGGCTGGGCTGGGAGCAGCGGAACTGTGGGGAGAAGCTGGCCGTTGCAACATGAGAGGCTGGAAGTCGACTTGGAGAAAAGGACTGTGGCTCCTTACGTCCTACTGAGCCCTTCCAAAATCAATTACTAAAATTCTATTTTAGATCCTTAAATATGCATTTGGGAATAAATTAAAATTTCTTCCCGAGGAAAATAATTGAAAGCATCCCAGCTGCTCTGGGGCCTGGTGGCCAGGAGGAACAGTGCCTGTGGGTGTGGCATCGGCTCTGACCGCCGGCTTCCGGGATGTATGGCACATGGACGCACCCTCGTTCGGCAGGGCAAGCTTGTCTTCTATTCATTTAATCCAATGAGCCTCTCGGGAACCCTTGAAATTTAGCTTTTAAAATCTAATCACAAATAGTATTTTGTGGGTGAAATGCTAAGAAGGAATGGGAAAGGGGTTGGCAAATGCTGACTACAGGCAATGAAGAGGGATGAGAGGGATGTTAAGATTCGAAATTCCGCCCTAGCCAGTTTGGCTCACTGGATAGAGCATTGGCCTGCGGACTGAAGGGTCCCAGGTTCGATTCTGGCCAAGGGCACATGCCTGGGTAGGAGGCAGCTGATCAATGATTCTCTCTCATCATTGATGTGTCTCTCTCTCTATCCCTCTCCCTTCCTCTCTGAAATTAATAAAAATATATTTTTTTAAAAAAGATTCGAAATTCCCACTCACCCAGCACCCACTCCTTCTTCCCTGCTCACAGCAGGACCTTGACTTCTGTTGGGCTGGCAATGTGTCAATGACATCAGTCCCATCCCTGGACCCTTGCAGCCAAAGCTGGGCCTGTGACCTAGGTCTGACTTTTGTTTTTCTGATTAAAAAGGAATAGACCCAGAGGGCCATGCCGATTGCCCTCCCCCTTTTTTCCTGCCGAGAGTGTGGACATGAGGCTACATAAGGATGGCAGCATGGGAGGAGCCTGGGTCTGGCATTGGAGGGGCACTTTCCCCGAACCAGGCTTCAGTGCAGGAGGCACTGATCAGAGGGCAGGGATTCCCTGGGAATCATTAGCCCTTAGCCCCTCACCTATAGTCCCCTCATTCCAGGAACCCAGAGAGATGCCTGGACAGGCCCAGCCCAACCAGAGCCTTTGTGCAAATGAGAAAAAGACCACCTCCCCGCAACTGGGGAGACACATTCCCATGGCAAACAGCTTGAGAAGAAAGCACCGCTCAGATTTCAGCCCTGCCCCTTCAGCCAGTGTCTATGTGCCAAACAACGTGCACAGACCTACATGGTGGCCCTGAGCCTGACATGTCCTTGTCCCCATCTCAATAGATTTCAATGGACACCAGTGGGCACACCCACACACTCCCCTGTAAGTTGGGGAGATGCCTCCGGCATCCTGAGACACTGGGAAAGCTGTCCCCACAGATGACTCTCCATGTTTTCAGAGCTACTTTCACCCACTTTGTGAAGGAATAAGAATTAAAGTAATATCTGAAATTGAATTATTCAGTCTCTGGAGTTTATCCAAGAAATGTTTTAAATGCTGTGCTCCATAATGAAAACAGATTCCACTGGAAGCTACTTGAGCACACCAGTGCCTTGGGGTTTGTCTTGCCTGACATAAGGTGGTGGCTCATGTAGGGCTGTCCTTTCTTCCCACAGTAACCTAGAGAAGCACCTGCAGGAGCTAGCCAAAGTTCCCCGTGCCCAAGACTATGTCTAAGGATTAGCAGTCATCAATTCTGATCCATTTCAATCATCTTTTTGGGTTCAAAGTCCTCGATCAGCAAGTATGACCTTCACTATATCCTTCACATGGTCCTGTGACACAGCAATGTCATCCATCCTCGTCCACAAAGCCTCTCATGTCCCCCTGTCCTTCGTTCCCACCACCTCCGCCCTGACCCCAGCCCCTGGTGCCAGCCTCCATCCCTGGCCTTCTGCTCCTAGTCTCTCCTCTTCCTCAGCCCACCTATCATTCGCTTTCTCACAGCCTTTCTCAGTCACTCATTTCCTTATTGCACTTCTTTGATCAGAAAGTCAGTGACTGCCCATTATTTGAAATTAGAAAAATAGTAAATTGGTCAATGATGGAAAGAGGATATAAAACAGAAGCCAAAGAAGGAAGAGTGGTCCTTGTGAAGGAGATTAGGAGTTAAATGCCCTTCTGAAGGCATCTAGAACAAAGGGGTAAGATGTGACAGGACAAAGGTGGCACAGGACTTGGGAAGATGACAGGAGGCATAACTTCTAGGCAGAAAATCAGAAAGTTGTCCTGAATTTGATAGGAGACTAGATACATCCCGAAAAGCAACTCCCAAACAAGAAAGCAACAGACCAAAACCTCTTGACATATCGACACAGGGCCTACATGAAGGAAATGACAACACCATCTCGAAAGTAATAAAAGAAGATGTGAATAAAGGAGAAACAGCATATTTCTGGATAGGAAGTCTCAATGTTAAAAGGAGGCTCATTTTTCTCTCATCTAATACATACATTTAAAGTAATTCTAATAAAAATCCAACAAGGTTTTTTAGAATTAAAAAATATTCTAAAGTCACTATGAAAGGCTAGATGCATAAAAAAAATCAGTAGCGTTATATATAATATTTACCCAATCAGCTATAAAAACATTATAAAACCAATATAACTAAAATGTGTAGCACTAGAATAGCTAGAATGATAGAACAGAAAAAGTGATAGTACAGAAAAAGCTCTCAGACAACGTTCCAGGGCATTCCAACACATACCAAGATTAGTGAGTGACATTCATTTGAATGCCCGATCTCTAACATGGAACCAAAGAAAGTAACCTGAAGTCAGAAAAACCACTATGGCAGGTTAGCATCCTGACAGACTGACTGACATTTTCCTTCATAAGAAGAGAGAAGGCAAGAGCAGTCTCAGGTAAGTATGGTGGGAGCATGTCACGCCCCACGGATCCCCATGGCTGACTAGAGTCTCAAGTCATGATCAGTGATGGTGCAGGACAGCAAACCCTGAGCAGAGGCGGGAGGAGAGGCCGAGTCCTCCAACAGCCTCTTTCTGATTGGCTGAGTGTCTTCCCATATTTATTGATCTGGAGCCTCTCTTTGATATAGATCCTATTTCCTTAAACAGGTATTGCCCAAGTGCCAGTGAAGTGTCTACTCCTTGAGTGGGGCCATTTCCATGAGAATAATCCAATAAAGAAATGCATACCCGGGGAGGGCCAGGAGGCCCATGACACTATTGCTCAATCCTGTTCTGAGGCTGACAGGCTGGCTTCCGGGACTAATGGGGAGGGGAGCTCTGGAGACAGGCCAGGGGATTCTCCTTTGCCAGGAGCAGTGGCTCCTCTGTGACTGACAGCAGAATGGCAAACATGAAGTCCCCACCACTAACTGGGAGAAACACAACATCGTTTACCCGAGGAGGAAACGGGTCTGATCAATCTGCTGACACTCTCTGAAGGAAAACCAGGAATGTAGTTTAATCAGAGCGGCGCTTTACAACTTGGGGTGCACAAGAGAATCCCTAGGGGTACCTTTAAGCCACAGTGATACTTGGGTCCCCTCAGAGATCCGATATCCCCTGTCTAGAGTGGGGCGCAGGGGTCACAGATGTTTAAAAGATATCTGCCACAACAGGACTCTCTGATTTAGACTTTCAGAAGTCTAAAGGCTTTGAGCAGGATTGTTGGGCGAGTAGAAAGTC